TTGATGCGGATGAGAGTGGTGAAGATGTGGACCAAAAACTATACCGAGGTATGATAGGTAGTCTTCTTTATCTCACCGCTAGTAGACCCGACATCATGTTTAGTGTATGTGCATGTGCACGTTTTCAAGCTTCTCCAAAAGCATCTCATTTAATTGCGGTTAAAAGGATCATTAAGTATGTTAATGGAACTTTTAACCTTGGTTTGTTTTATCCAAAAAGCACCACTTTTGATTTATATGGTTTTTGTGATGCCGACTTTGCCGGATGTAAGGTAGATCGCAAGAGTACTAGTGGAACATGCCAATTCTTAGGAAATTCCCTTGTTTCTTGGGCTTCCAAGAAACAAAATTGTGTTGCATTGTCCACTACGGAAGCGGAATACATTGCCGCCGGCTTATGTTGTGCTCAAGTTTTATGGATGAAACAAAGTTTAGTTGACTATGATTTGAATTTTCAAAATATTAAAATCTTTTGTGATAACACAAGTGCCATAAATATTTCCAAAAATTCGGTTTTGCATTCTAGAACTAAGCATATTGACGTGCGCCATCATTTCTTACGCGATCATGTAGAGAGACAAGATGTATCCCTAGTATTTGTTGACACCAAATCTCAACTAGCGGATATATTTACTAAGCCTCTTGGAGAGGATGATTTTTGTCGCATAAGAAATGGTTTGGGCTTATGCACTATGTGAAAGTTCTACATTGCTTGCTTGATTAGTTGCATTTTGCATTTGGCATTTCTCTTTACCCCATTTTTGATGGTGACAAAGGGGGAGAGAAATCTCCTCATTTGTTGCATATATTTAGGGGGAGCTCATAGATAGGGGGAGCACCTATCTATAAGCTATTTTATTTTTGCTCTTATATAATGGTTGGTTGTCATCATCAAAAAGGGGGAGATTGTTAGCCCTTATGTTTTGATGATGTTCTTACAACCACCATTATCGGTACTAATGGCTTATTGAGTGTAAATGTAGTAAAATCATTTGTCAAGCTCGTTAGTGCCATTAACGGAGGATGGATGGAATATACGCTACAACGAAGATATCCAAAGGAGGAGGAGGCCAAGAGATGAAGCAACGTTATTTCAAGAACGACAAATTCAATCAAAAGCTTCATCCGATTCAAGCTATATCAAAGCTCAAGTATATTGCTCTCTATATGAGGATATTAGCTTTCTTTTGTTTTTTCTCTCTAGTGCTAGAATGTAGGCAAAGAGTTACTGAGTTTACTTGAAGCTATTGGGAATCACACACACGTTTTTAAACTTGTGCTTTTAAGCGTTTTTCACAAAATACTATTTTTCACAAGTTTGAGTACCTATCTGCAAAATTCTTTTTCCAAGCAGTTTGTTTTTAGTATTAAAAACATTTTACAAAGTTTCAGAATTTTCAGAGGTCAAATGAATATTTTGGAAATATTTCAACTTGGTCAAATAACCTGATTTCAGAATATGTCAGAAATCGGTCGACCGGTCCGGTCTACCGATCCGATGACCTTTCTTCTCTATGTCTCCAGAGTGTCGTCGGTCGACCGATACGGTCGACCGAATTTCTCAACCCTTAATCGGTCGACCGTGCCGGTCGACCGATGAGTCTCTGGATGTTTTGTCAAAACTCCTTAGCTGCTGGCGGTCGACCGATTTTTTCGGTCGGTCGACCGAAGGTATTTTTCGGTCGACCGATATTTTCTTCGGTCAACCGATTTTTGCCTCTGTTCAGCCGCGACTTTTTTAAAACGGTCGTTTGCCTCGAACCCTGTGCTTTCACTTGTTAGTGATTGGCACAGTCTGTGATGAGGGTCTGAAGAAGAGATTATTATCTCATTTGGGTAGATTTGTTTTTGTTTTAAAATGATTTAAACTCTCCTATAAAATCCCCAGACCTCTTCTTCTTCCTCTAAGCCCTAACGTTTGAAAACCAGAGAGCTTTTTCTGTTTCCTGAGAAAATTTTCAAAACTCTGTTTTTCCTCTCTGTTTCAAGTGTGTTTCACTTCCCAGCTTCAGTACTCTTCTCTTTGCTATAGGGGCTTGTGTAAAGAGAGGTTCTTGCTTGTTTTTTCTTCTGCTGCTGTGTGGTTGAGATCTGTGGAGATCTACTGTGAGGGAGTGTGATCTGTGAGATCAAACTGTGTAGTGAGAGAGAGATCTTGTGGGATCGCTGTGTAGACGAAGTTCCGGCTTCCAAACCGGATGTGTTAGTGGATTTCTCCTCGAGAGTGGGGAGCGGGGACGTAGGTCAGCGGGCCGAACCTCGTTAACACATCGCGCGTCAAGGATAACGATTCCTAACTCTATCTCTTTCTATTTGATTGCACTTCTGTTTTGTGGTTTGCTTGTGCTGAGTTTTAAATTGCATATTAGAGCCTCTTGACCCTAATCACCCCCCCTCTAGGGTCCAACAATTGGTATCAGAGCTTGGTCTCTATATCAGTTTTTGGTTTAACAACCTTAGAGAAAAGATCTAATGGAGGCCTCTTTGAATATGCATATGCTAGAAGGACAATCCACAACTAGACCACCTCTCTTCACCGGCACTAATTTTGCTTATTGGAAGGCTTTGTTTTTCCAAATTTCTTTAGCTGCCCGCGGTCGACCGAATTTTTCGGTCGGTCGACCGACGGTATTTTCGGTCGACCGATTATTTCTTCGGTCAACCGATTTGGTCAGCCGCGATTTTTTAAACGGTCGTTTCTCGCCTCGACTCTTGTGCTTTCACTTATTAGTGATTGGCACAGTCTGAGGTCACAACCTGCAAAGTAGATTATCTTCCTAAATAGGAAGATTGGGTTTTTGTTTTTATTGATTTAAACTCTTTTATAAAAACCCCCAAGCCTGCTTCTTCTTCTCTAAGCCCTAACGTTTTGAAAGAGAACCAGAGAGCTCTGTTTCTTCCTGAGAAAATTTTCAAATCAAACTTGTTCTTCTGAGTTCTTGTGTGTGTTTCACTTCCCAGCTTCAGTACTCTTCTCTTTGTTATAGGGGCTTGTGTAAAGAGAGTGTCTTGCATTTATTTTCTGCTGCTGTGAGTGAGATCTTGTGTAGATCGACTGTGAGGGAGTGTGATCTGTGAGATCAACTGTGCAGTGAGAGAGAGATCTTGTGGGATCATTGTGTAGACGAAGTTCCGGCTTCCAAACCGGATGTGTTAGTGGATTTCTCCTCGAGAGTGGGGAGCGGGGACGTAGGTCAGCGGGCCGAACCTCGTTAACACATCGCGCGTCAAGGATAACGATTCCTAACTTTATCTCTTTCTTTATTATTGCACTTCTGTTACTGTGGTTTGTTTGTACTGTTTTTTAAATTGCATATTAGAGCCTCTTGACCCTAATCACCCCCCTCTAGGGTCCTTCACTAGTATGAACAACAAATAGTACTAACATGAACTGTAATAAAACTAACATGAATGCAATTAGAACTAACATGGTATAAATTAGAACTAACATAACTCCAATTAGAACTAGAAAGAACCAAAGTAGAGTTAACATGGACTTACACACAATAATGACATGCAACCTGGGACATATGTAACCCCTGACTTCTTCAAGCCCTCCAAAGCAACTCTAATGCCTCTAATAATCTCTGTATGAAATAATTGAGCCCATGCAACTCCTTTGACTCTCTCAATGCTATCCAGGTACTTGAGTAGTGGTCTAGGGATACCTTCCTTGCTTCTGGGCACCATATCATAGAACATTGATAAAGAATTTGCAGCAGAACAAAGTCTTGGATATCCTTCTTTTCTGTAGATTCCACAAGACTTTCTAGTTGATCTTCAAGGTATTTTCGATGAGTAATTGGTGCTTCTTTTAACTTCTTCCCCTCTTCAAATTTGAAAAGTTTAGCAAAGTATCCCACCCAGATTCTGTTTTTGGAGGTCCCGATTGGTATAAAAGATTTCCCCATGAAGAGGGGAAGATGTATGGTTATGGACCCATTCTAAATCAAACTTAACAATTTTTATTCCCCTAGTTTTTAAATCAGGGATAGAAAATGTGTTACTATCGCCATCATAATAGCTCAGCACCAGCTCAAGTGTGGGGCGATCAGGTGCAGGAGCTCCAAATAGTATATAGTGCTCAAATATAGTTCCACAATATGCATCTCTATGCCACTGACAAATCTTTGGTGCAAGACGCTTCATAAATTCCCAATAAGCCCCAATATTGGCGGTTAGCCTTATTTCACAAGCATCAGCATCACCAACTTTTTTCCTGAAAATAAAATCAAATGTTCAAGTTAAATTAGACCTAACGTGAACTGGAATTAGACCTAACAAGAATAAGCTTCTAATAGAACTAACACAAACTGTTATAGAACTAACATGGACTCCAATTAGAGCTAACATGGACTATTCTAAGACCTAGCACTGTTCTAAGATGAACTCAAATTAGAACTAACATGGACTTTTATGCACTATTGTAGAACTAACACGAAATTAGAAGATGAACTCCAGTTAGAACTAGCATGGACTGTAACGCACTGCTCTAGACCTAGCACTTAACTTGAAAATGGAATTAGGAAAAATTTCGTCGAGTCCCCAAATATTGGATAACCTAGCCTAGCACTTACTGCTTTTTGGTTTTGGGTTCGTTGGAACGAGCCGTTGATGTTCTTTTTTTTCGGCCTCGCCATTCTACTGCACCACTTCGCATGACCAAAAGCTCTTGAGTGGCTTCCTCCGCGTTGCCAATCCCAGATGATTCGCGTAGCGCGACTGAAGACTGTGATCTGGCTCCGTCTTTGTCCTACCGTTAACCACGATAAACGACTTCGTAATCGTTAACGGATGCTGCTTCCTTGGACGACATTTGCACCGCGAAAACCTAACCAAGATTGAAATCCGACGAGTTTTTAGGGTTCGAAAACTTCGGTGGCTCCTCAACGGTAGAAGAGAGAGGGTACTTGGATAGAAAAGGGCACAATTACCGAGTTCAGTCAAATCAAAAAGGTTATCCACTAGGATTTTCTCGTGATCTGCTACTATGGGGACTTAACACAAATACGATATGTATTTAAGTGTGAGCCAAAATGCAAAGGCAAGGTCACGCATTTTTTCCTAAATAAAAAACGGGGATTTCGCTTTCGTTCTTCTTCTTCGTTCGATTAAAAAAAAAGGAGTTGCTTTTCGCACCAAAACCATAGAATTTCATCGAAATGTCTTGCAGCTGCGTGGTTATTCAAGAAATTGGGGAGGAGGATGAAGTGAAATCGAGGTCCGGACCGTTGAAATGGCGATCAGAGCGCGTGTTCCCAATCTACGCCATGGGAAACCTAAAGCTGAGCGCGAGTTCGAAGAAAGTTATTTCAGACTTCGAGGCTTCGGCTGATCCTATTTGGGATTCGATTCGAGCTGAAGCCAAGTCCGAGGTCCGCGGTTTCTGTAAAAATTGGTCCTTTTCTTATTATTTTTTGGGTCGGTTGACCCCTTTTTTTTAAAAGCTTTTTATACCCTGAAGTTCAAATTTGCCCAAAAATACCCTAGCGTCTTAAGCTAAAAAGTGGAGAAAATGAATTAATGCTTTTAATTTCGGTGAATTTAGGGTCAGGTGAAGGAGGAAGAAAGGGAATTGGTGAGATTTCTTTTCAATCCAGAGTATAAAAGCACGAATAGTAATATGATAATTACGTGATGCATTTTAAATGTAATTCTGAACGATAATGTAACAGGTCGTATTGAAGTCAAAAATGGTAAATTTTGGGTACTTCTTTTTTCGGCAAATTTAAACCCCAGGGCATCAAAGTTAAAAATCGATGAAATTTTAGGTAATTGAAGGTGATTAACCCTTGAATTTTGCTACTATTCATAAAAATTGACTGCTTTTTCTTTATTTTAGGCTGAGAAGGAGCCAATTTTGAGCAGTTTTTTGTACGCAAGTGTCCTGGCTCATGATTGCTTGGAGCGAGCATTGGGGTTTGTACTGGCAAATAGGCTTCAGAACCCGACGCTGTTAGCGGCGCAGCTAATGGACATATTTGATAAAGTTATGATGAATGATAGAGGTATTCAACGCTCAATTCGCCTGGATGTTCAGGTGATTCTGTTGCCAAGAGTGTCAAGGCGTTATATATTCGTTTTTATCTCTTTTCTATAGTTGGATTACTAACAATTTGTCTCGTTAAAGGCATTTAAGGACAGAGATCCTGCTTGTGGATCATATAGTTGGGCATTGTTGTACCTTAAGGTGTGGTTTCTTTCATTTTGAAGATTACATACTCATAATAGCCCATGATTTTTATCAGTTCCATCGATGAATCGATTTCAATTCTCTTGTTAAATGATCTTGTGCTTACCTTCAGGGATACCATTCACTTCAGTCATATCGTGTGGCTCATGCATTGTGGAATCAGGGACGTAAAGTATTGGCATTAGCATTGCAAAGTCGAATTAGTGAGGTGATAATTGTTTTTTTTTTTGTTACAATGCATAGCATCACTTCAACATAGTTCTGCTATCCATGTTGTGGTTTGACCTTGTGCTCCTTTTTTAAGTTCTGCTATCCATGTTGTGGTTTGACCTTGTGCTCCTTTTTTAGGTTTTTGCTGTTGATATACACCCAGGTATGTCACCATTCCTTTCTATGAATAGGTTTTTGCTGTTGATATACACCCAGGTATGTCACCATTCCTTTCTATGAACTTGTGATATAGCTAAAGAAAACCGCTTTATGGTGTTATCCATTTTGTTCTGGTGGATTTGCTTGCTGCATGGACACGTTGGCAATCTATGGCTGTTGCAGCCCTCTGTTATCAAACTAGCACTTAATAGTTAGATTGAATTAATGGAACTTCTAGTATGCTTTTCACTTCTTTGTAAGGGAAATGTGTATGGTTAACCTTGTTATGTAGCTTCGTGTTCTTCACATGGCTGTGCCATGAAGTAGTTGGAGAGAACTTATATGACACATGAAAGTTGGTATCAACAAACGTAGTTTGTTTCACCTGCTTGTCTTATTGGCCGTATCGTATAATAGTGTTTTCTTACAATTCTTTACCATGCGGGCCAGTCCACAAGAAAATCAAATAGAAGTGGTTAGCACAATAATGACTTCTTGCATTATCATAGATTAGTTTTTTTTCTAATAATTCCATGCCATATGTAGAACCACAGTCCACAAGAAGATCAAATACAAGTGGTTAGCACAATCGTGACTTTTGTATAATAATTACTGCATGGATGGCTGTAATGAAGGTGATATGCGAGTAATAATTTGAAGCATGATTGCAATTTTGTTTTCTTTATTAATGAATTGATTTAAAGGATGCACGTTGTCCTTGTTTGGACTTCTTTTTTCTTTTCTTAAGTGCCACATGCTGCTTGAAGTACTTGTATGTAGTGAGGAAATTAAGACCGGGGTATGACAATGTTTTCCAACTTGTCATGTAGCAAATAAATGTTTGTATTGGGTTCAGAGGATCTACGGCAAGATTTAGAAAGCAAAAACATCTGAACCCCATCAAACGAATGGTAAGCAGGAACCTTGGTGTGCACCTGTTGGTTGGGTTTACAGTGGAGTGAGGGGGTCTTGAACCTTCCATGTACTCGTTTGCGTCCACCATTCATGGTAAGCTTGGCCGATCAAAAATTCTTAGCATTTATGGACTATGATAATGCATGTGTTATGATATTAGAAAGCTTATTCTTTTAGTGGGAGAGACAAGAACTAGAAAGGAGAGACGATTTAGATGCTCATTGAAGGTCATTATAAACAAAGCAAGAAACTGAACATGCAGCTGTGGAATAATTTGATTTTTAATAGTTGTTGATAGAGTTGTGTCGAAACCTACAGGATTTCTATTGCAACATACTGGAACTGCAGAGTTGCCTGGAAAATTCAAACTCCCATCACTTGAAAGAGGCTTGAGGACCTCCAGACATCGGATGCATTAAAACTATCTTTCTCTTGATATCCTGATCTTCCCTGTTTCATTGAAAATATGCAACGCAATAGATAAGCTTTTCCCGTAAGTAGAAAATTGGGTGAGCTTTAATATTAATATAATTCAGTTATCAACAGTTGGTTATTTAGATTTTCATCTGGAAGCATTAAAATATCAAGTCCTCACCAATTTATTGACCTGATACTAATGAACTTTGGTTTTCATGTGTCTACATCTGATAAGAGTTTTGTGTTGGTGTTAAGTAGGGAAATACATCCTTAAAGATAAAATTGCATGCATAAATCATCATGAAACTGGGTACACAACTTGCTATAAAAGTTAAAGGTGCATGATTTGAAATGTTTTAGCTTCATTAACTTCAGCATTTGAGAGGATTTGGGTAAATGATGACTTGTGTGGAAATAGATGCGCACATTGGCCAAGCTGTTGGTGGGCTGTCTCATTTTCCTTCCCGCCTTTTAATTGAATCTATATTGCATAGAAAGGCTACTGGGAATGCACCAAGGATGGATACACTATACTATGAAAAACTTGGGAGATACTTCACCGTCTCAAGTATAGGACATGGTATGCTGGTGCAGTAAATCGTAACATAGGACTCAGCTTAGTTTAGTTACATCAATACTAGTACATAATTTATTCTTTAAATCAATCTAGTTGGTTTTGATGTTTATGACAAAAAATGCAATTTTCACATTAGGATAATATGGCAAGAATAAACATTGGTGATGTTTGTATGGATGTTAGCTAGCAGTTTCTTCTTACTTCCAATGGAGAAGCTTAACATATCTCTCATCTTATGTTAAATGACAGTTTGAACTAATGTTTTAATATGTCAAGGAGAAGCATACCCAACGAAGCATTGGGTAATATGAAAGGGGCATGGAATTTTCTAGTTTAATGTTAAAATTGGTGTTACAGAATTAGGATTGTGTGTCAAATAAGAGTTCACATTGAGGTGTTGTAGGAGGACCTCCAAATATCACAGAATGGGCATGTCCTGCAGTCGACAAAGACATGGTTTCTTTAATAGGACCTTTGTGTAATATATAGTATAAAACTGAACTACTTTTGCAGATTTTTCGTTTGAAGCTGCAAATGGAATACAAAAAAAAAATTAAGGCTGTTTCTGTAAATATTGACTGCATAACCTTTTTTTTTAATTCAGATTTGATTGATTATTTTACATTCATTCCATGTCTATAAGCCATAGTTTTTAGCTACTGAATCAAGCTCATTTTTTTTACTATTCAATTCTGTTAGAGTCAACAATTACATGCAAGGTGAATTGGTGAAAAGAGCAGATAGTTTCCATACTATCATCTGAAAGTATATCTTGCAACTAAAATGATTTGTTGCAAAAGACATCTTCAGGAGCAGTGTGTTGTCATTTTGTTCCTCTTTCCTTATTCTCCAATACTTCATTCTTTTGCCTTCTTTTTCCCTCTAAACTGCCAGTATGAATAATGAATATTAAGTTAGTGTATGATTAGTCGTTCTAACACCTTTTCCTATTTAAATACTATACAGCTGCAAAAATTGGAGAAGGGATATTGTTGGATCATGGAACAGGTCTAGTAATTGGTGAAACTGCTGTTGTTGGGAACAGGGTTTCTTTGATGCAGGCAAGTGCACTTACTTTCCAAATTCACATGGTGTGATGGGTATTTTGACCATCAATTTGTTGAGTTCACATGTGATTACTTTTAGGTGTTAGATTTGTCTGTTATTTCATAGTGAGCTTTCTGGGTAATTGAGTTTATTTGGACCTCATTTATGTTTTGAAATATGAAATAGTAATTTTTTTTTTTGAAATTTATCATTGCACTTGATTCGCTCTTTTTATGTACGTGTCACTGAAGTATTACTTAGTGTAGTCATCACAAGAATATTTTTCTTTTTTGGAAATTCATCAGAAGAACATTGATTTGTGATCTTTCTGTACCTTTACCACGGTAGGGATGGGTTGGGAAAAAACAATGTCTATGGGAAACCATTGTCACTGGAGACCACTTAATTTTTACCATTATCTTCAGGTCAAGAAGCATTAATTCACGTTAACTCCATTGGTAGTCTATTATGTTACTCCGTAATTATGATAATTTCATATTATCTGAAATTCTTAATCATAATTTCATATTATCTGAAATTCTTAATCAGAAGTTCTCAAAATAAAATTTTGTTTTGAATATCTTTTGCTTGAGTTTGAGCTTATCTAGATGTTGCTTTTACTTCTGACACACATGCTTTTCATATTATTGAAGAATTGCTGGTGACGTTGAAGGGAAATACAATGATTTCATATAAATCCATGTTATCCTTACTCTAGCCTGCTTTGTATTTTCTGGCTTTTTTAGTAACCCCCCTGTATTTTGTATCATCTAGTTCTGCTTTTTGCTTGTTATGTTCTTCAAAAGAGTATACTACCATAAGTGAATATTATTCTGTTTAAAGGCATGCACAAAGATACTGTCTTATGTGTAAATTCTGTAAAATTACGTCTTTGTACAGAAGTATGTGGCTCAATAGCACCTCAGCAATTAACAAAGACTGTGTCCTTATATTTGTAGTTATCTGATTTCAGGGCATTACATTAGGTGGCACAGGCAAAGAAACTGGTGATAGACACCCTAAAATTGGTCATGGCGCTCTTATCGGTGCTGGTGCTACAATTCTTGGTAATTTATCAGTTGGTGAAGGTGCTATGGTTGCCGCGGGTTCCCTTGTGTTAAAGGATATACCTCCCCACAGGTTAGTAACATTGACATCTGATTGTTTTGAGCTATTCATATATTTTGAAGAATCATATCCATCTTTCTTGTTTTAATGAATTTACAGACTCGCGAGATATCTTATTTGGAAGGATAATTAGTTCTAGTGGCTTTTCAGAAAAAAGAACTTTTAGTCCTTAATAATATACTGCATTAGATATATAGCCATTTTTTCGTTGGAGTTTGTCCAGTTTGTTCATATATAGAGGTTAAAGAAAACATTGGCTTAACCAGGACAATGCTGCCTCATATGTGGGTTTGACCCCCTTTGGTTCTTTTGCTCTTCTAGCTCCTTTTGTTTCATAATTCTATGTTGATTCCTCGCATCACTTCTTCTTAGTACTTTTTACATGCTTGTCACTGTTTGAATTGTTTGTTCTCCCAGAATGTATAGGTTTGAGCATCTTCAAACGGTTATTAGAGTAGATGGAATGAATACTGTCGCACAATTGCTTGGAGAACTTATACCTATCTATATTCTACTTCTTAACTCTCAGGAACTATTACCTTAGGTGTAATCTTTGATTATGTAAATATGTAAACAATTTGATGAACTTGCCTCTTTAAACCAGGATGTAACCTCGTGCAACACTTGACATGTGTCACATATACATACACTAGAATATAAGTATATCCCATCGTGTGTATTTAGACATCATGGTTAACTTCACCAGTACCATATCACTATTCATAACACTAGATCCTCACAATAAATTTGGAGATTTGGTGTAGTTAGATACTTTAAGAGTACGCTTGCTGGAAATCCTGCAAAGATAGTTACGGAAAGGCCCTTGCCAATATTTGAGTTGTTAACTCAGACTGTATTTGATCAGTTTACTTTCGTTTGAGTTTATATCCTCATGTTTCATTACCGTCCATTGTTAAAAAAGTACATGAGATGTCTATGGCATGGATCAATTTTGACATTCTTTTATTCTTTGATCTTAAGCATGGTTGCTGGAAATCCTGCAAAGATTGTTGGACGTGTTGAAGAGGAAGATCCATCCCTCTCGATGAAGCATGGTTTGTATTTTTGCACAAAATGTTTATTTAGTTTGGATAATTCCATTAACTTCTATGATTTGACATTTTGATTGATGTTTGTTCTATGTGAATGGTAGATGCTGCGAAAGATTTGTTTGAGCATACGATTTTTGGTTCTGCTCAAGGAAAAGTTAATGGTATGTTTTTATTTTCTTTTCTTGAAGAGTATAATAGCACCTGAAACAAGCCGAGGAAATTGGTTATTTCTGTGGGGTTGTGGCGGGGTGTAGCTTCTCAGTTTTTTCTTTATAATATTTTCGGATTAGCCCAGTTTATGGGACACCTTCATTCGTAAAATAAGCAGTAGGGAAGTTCATGCATGTCTGAACAGAGCGCTGCATTATTTTTACTACTACACGTGCACAGGGTATTTCTTACTACTGTGTTCTACAATGTGCTGACACTTGAATTTATTTATTTATTACATTTCGGTGATTTTCAGTTCTGGGTAGAGGGTCATATAACAAAAAATTGTCAAATTGTGTCTCTTTAGAATTCTCACATTACATTATGGAAAGAATAACGAGAACTATGTTGGCGTGTTCTGAATGAGGCGGTTAACTTCAATTGACAGCAATCCGTTGCTGTAATTATGATGACTGAATATCATGCAGTCAGATATATGCACGGGCAGATGACACTGCATTGATGGCTTTCCCCGTTCCTTGAGATGTATCAGAATTTTTACTACCTGGACTATACTTATGAAGTAGAAGCCTGGTTGCCTGTTTTGCCACTTGTCTAATTCTCACTTCTCGGAGCTTTAATAATTATTCCACCATCTCATATCAACCAACCACTGTACAAATATATGGAAATATCCGTTCTTTCTCTTTTGATTTTCCAATGCATCATTTATTTTGTTGTTCCCCGCCAAAAATCATATTTCTGTTCTCTCTTTCCCAAAAATTTCTACTATGCATGCAACAATATTAGTACCAAGTCCCCGGCATCTCACGGGTAATGTAGTTGAGCTTATAGGACGGACATCATAACGCTCCTTAGCTGGGGTGATTTCATGCATGGAGTTACTCTGGCAATGTTTACGCTATTTCTATTGTTGCATATAACCTATGTTAATTCTTTAGCTTTGTATGCGCGCAGGGGCCCTTCATTGTGAGCACAAATGCTAAATTGAGGAGGGCGGAGTTCTGGTTCACTAAGCGTCAGGGCTACCGATGAATAGACACCCCTTCGATGGAGATTTAGCCCACTATTATTTGTGGGAATACATTCAATTTTCATGAAAACGCCTGTTAAAGTTTCTCATGAAAGGCCATTGTTATGTAATTTATAGGAAAATATTTTGTAAGAATAACTATCCGTTCATTTAATAAACAAGACGAGTATGTACTAACGATGGACGCTATCGCGTCAATGGTTTTTATCTGCATTTAAATGGCATAATTTGTCTTGGCTCTGTAAGTTGCTGCCTGATGTTATCTTCCTGTTATTGATATAGCATATAATATCAATGTCCGTAAATATTTTATAAAATGAGAAGAAATTTGTGACTTTGAATCCAATTTTATAATCCATTATAATTATTTTTTAATTTTCTTATAACTATTTGCTGCTTGAAGCTTTTTAATTCTTCCTGTAGATGCTATGGTTAAAGTTCCTGATTGATTAAACTGTTAGCAGCACCAGGAAACCTAATAACAAAACGATGAAAGAACAAAAATAAGAGGAAAATAAGCGACATAAAGAAAGATTATCTGATGAAATTGAATAAGCAAAGTGATTACGTATATCCTCAGAGTATAATCATCACTATGATTCTACAAATAATTAGCTGATATTTACTGTCAATCTTTTAAAGCCTAGTATAAAGTTTTATATGCCTAATCTAAGCTTTACGTGTCATTGTTCGCGGAAAAAATCGTGTCTTTCTTCATTATTGATTCCATTGTCATCTTAAATAACAGCTTTTTTTAGTTACAAAGATCCGGTCTTTTTATAAGATCCGGTTACAACGAAAATCAAAGAAAATAAAAGAAAATTTACAACTTTCTCCTTGTTTGTCGAACAAATCGCGAGCTCCTGTTTTGCGGTCGCTCGCTTTGTGGGTTCTTCGCCTGCGCCGGGGTTAATCCGTGGACCACCGCGCGATCTAGATCCGGTCGGATCTACGCAGTACGACGAGTATTATTTCACCAAGGAAATAATAGCCGGGGGGATTGGTTCACCAAGGAAACAATCGCCCAAATCTCGGGATCAAAGACCAAGCTTTGATCCGGAGTGTACCTGCGTAGATCTGAGATCCGGTCCTCTCGAACTCTTACCTTATTTGGCGTTGACGATCGCCGAGCACCAGATCTGGATGAGCAAGTCCTCGAAGTCCTAAAGCTTGAATCTTTTTTAGATCTGAGTCTTCAATCCAGCAGGGCTTCGCCTCCAAAAAATCCAACCTTTTCAAATGAACAACACTTGGCCTATTTATAGGCACTCTGAACTGTGCCCGCGCACAGATCTGGGTCGGCCACCTATGGGTGGCCGGCACTGGGCCGAGCCACCCATAGGTGGCTCGGC